CAACTGTCTCACCTATTCAGAGGGCCTGATCCAGCTGGGGGCCCCTCAGCCTTTGGTTCATAGTTCATGTGTTTCCATTCATTTGGCTATTTTTTTCAATAATTGAGTAAAACCGAAATTTATTATAAGCCACAGTGATACAGGTTTTTTGTTGTCCATGTTTAAGGCATGGTTTTGACCTCATTATCATAGCTGGTGGTCATATCTCCAGGCATCATTAATATGTTCTTGGATGAAGAAGGATCAAAACCAAAGATAAAATCTGGATGACTAACTGAGCTGACTCTATTTAATACAATTTACCACAGAAGGCCTGCTAACAACATCTGTTTATTTACTAGTTCCATGCTCTGTGACAACTTCTCTCCTGATAAATCTCAGGAAACAGAATTTTATAGCTAGGACATTTTCTCTCTTCCTTGGCAAGTTTGGATTGTGTGAGGTATAGGCTCATGGCAAAACTCATGTATACCTTCTTTAAGTATCTCTTTTTGAAGAAATAGTCTGGAAAGAAGGCATGGATTGAGATGCTAGAAGACGCCGGGCGGTGGTGGCGCACGCCTTTAATCCCAGCACTCGGGAGGCAGAGCCAGGCAGATCTCTATGAGTTCGAGGCCAGCCTGGTCTACAGAGTGAGTTCCAGGAAAGGCGCAAAACTACACTGAGAAACCCTGTCTCAAAAAACCAACCCCCCCAAAAAAAATCCGAGAGAGAGAGAGAGAGAGAGAGAGAGAGAGAGAGAGAGAGAGAGAGAGAGATTGATTGATTCTAGAAGACAAAAGACAATTTGGAAGGCAATATCAATAAAGGCATTGTCTGCTACAAGTAAATACCTTCTAGCTTAAAATAAGTACTGTATTATGAGTTTAATTGGTTGGAGAAAGTCAATGCTAATTGCTTGAAGGTCAACTTGCAGTTAAGAGGGGCCTTTTATTTCAAGTAGTACTATAATCCCAAAGAAGAAAATATCAACATTTATTATTGAATTATTATCTTGGCTCTGTTGCATTTGCAGCTGGATGTGCTAAAAATCATGTCTAAAATTAAGTTATACCAAGTATTCTGAGACAAGAAATTCACACCAGTTATGTCACTTTTTAAGTCTCCTGACCCAGCAGTTGATGTGAATAAGATTAAATAACGTGTTCCATTTCAAAGGCTAAAATTCCATTCTTCTTGGCAAGTTAAAGGAATATCAGCCAAGTTCGTTCTTCTTGTTTGTCTTCTAATCTTCTCATTTCAGCTGTAGAACGAAGGGACAGGACATGACTAAATAGCGGAGCGTGGAGGCAATTTGAGCGCTGCATCCAAAGGGGAGCTTGTGCCTTGCATGCTGTCCATTGGTGATATTAGAAGCAGTGCAGGAATGGGGAGAAGGTGAGAAGCTTTACAATGTCCGCTGACTCCATTAACCTGTTCACTTATTTTCGTTGTCTCCATTTCCCTGGGAGACCCAGTGCCCAGTGTTTGTTGTTATTCTCACTTGCTTTTTTTCTTTCACTTGTTTTCTCTTTTTCTGTCAGTCTGGTGCCATCCATTTTTAATTCAGTGTGAAGGAGTTTTAGACACGAAGCTAGAGCTGCAGAGCACTATTTGAAAGACTGTGTGGTCTGCTCAAAGGCCAAGCCTTCCTCCCAGTTGCAGCTGTACTGAGAAGGCTGGGACTTGAGCACCTCCTAAGAGAGTGCAGGTTGTTGTTCTACGATCTGGTTTTCTACACGCTTCTCCCTATGGCCCAGGCTTGTCTTCACACTATACCTCTAACTGCAGCGGTCTGCTCCCTCCTCCAAGGCTGCCTCACCTCAGCCTAACATGGCCTCTTCATCTCATACCTCAGAGAATTTTCATCTCGAATCATATGGCGTCTAGAATATCTCATATGGCGTCTAGAATATCTCAGATGGAACCCTCTAAAGAGAGTAGACCGGCACGTCCCAGGAGCCTCTATCTCAGAGAGACCAGGCAGTGGGTGCACGCTGTAGTTTCACCATGTTGTTGTGAGAAAACTCTGACCGAAAGCAGCTTACCGAAGGAAAGGTTTACTTCCGCTCTCACTTCCGGGTGAGGAAACTCAGGGTATGATCTCAGACAGGAGCTTGGAGCAGAAACTGAAGGGACGCTGACAGTTTTAACCAACAGCATCTGTAAACGTGATAGGGTAGAAAGGGTGGCGCTGTCGCAAAAATAATTGTCTAGAGAATGAATGTCCTGAAATTTTGCTAACAAATTCAGGCATTGGGAACTTAAGAATTTTAGTGCATTTCAAGATCGTATTAACATACATGACAGTAATGAAGATAAAACTGCCAATGTGATCATTTTATGGAGACTTAAAAATCCATCTGTAAAAATAAAAACTGATGTAATTGTACAGATTTAGATGAACTTCTTACTGGTTTAAAATTCATAGTACTACACCACAATATTACATTCAATAAAATAATAATTATTAAATGCCTTGTGCATATGTAGGTTATGGCAGCAATGATATTTGAAAATATACAATTATAATTTATTGTCATGTTTTGTTATCTATCATAATTTCTAGTGGTTATATTGTATATTACAGACATTCATGAGTTTCATAGTTAACTAATAGGTAGGTGCTGTCTAAATTTGTCTCTAAGTTTCCTATCAAACCTTAATGTTCATGTAGCAGAGTTTTCTGGTCATAAATTCCCCAAACTGGTAGGAACATTGGTGTGGACTTGGTAATAAATCCTGCTGAGAATTATAAGCCATATCCTTACCTGAAATTTATGTTTGAAGTCACTGTAATTTGAAATGTCAGAATCATGTCTGCCATTGATTTCGGAGCTATCTCTTGCCTCCCCATTTCTCTGCTGTGCTGTCTGGATTTATATTGAAGCATTTGGCTTCTGCTTTATCTCCAATTCAGCCAGGCTCCGGGAGTTGAACAGTAAAACCAGCTGGCACGGGGTCCAGCCCGCTTCAGCACATTGATGCTGTGACACCACAATGTTTCTCCGTCTTACTGAACTGCCTCACACAGGCACTAAACACGAGTGGTGACAAAAGAGAGCGGGCAGTTATCATCCCAGAGTGGATGCACAGTCGCCCGTTTGAAGAGAAAATGTCCAGCAACGAGGTGGTACATTATCATAGTGACAAAAACCAAATCAGTAGATCCCAACTGTCAATAAGAAGTAAGAATGACTGCGGCTTTCTGCTGGTGGTTTATGATGAAGGGGTTAGACAGAACACTCTGGGCTCTAAACATAATTAAAACAGAACTCACTATTATGGAGATGCTTAGGAAAGACCCCAAACAGCTGCCCACTCCTGATATGAAGAATAGCTAGATAATCATTTAAGATTTAATTGACTTCTTATTGAAGAAGATATATAGAGAAAAACTCCTACCTTCTGTTTATATGTTCCAATGAGTTTTTCATACCCCTGATATCATGTGACCTTTTCCAAGATCAAAAAATGGCATGTCACTACTACCCTTGTCTATGAACACACCTCACTCTGCATATCTAACCACTAACCTGAGTTCTCACATAATAAATTTTCTTTTTCTTTTTTTTTTGAGCCACAATTCTGTGCTATTTTTAAAGTGGTTTAAAGTGGGGGGTATGTTATATTACCAAGCACACCTGATAGATCATTCTATGAAGAATAAACTGATATCCATAATTCAGGTAAGAAAAGGTGGAAATGGTTCAGGTGAGAGGGTAAGAAGTCAGCAAAGCAGAGTTAAGGCTGAAAATGAAGGAACAAATGTGCAGGTCTGTGAATAAAGCACCAGGGGTTCAAGTTGACATGACTGGGCATGTGGCCCCTCACCAAGAGTCCGGAACAGGATTTAGGGGGTGGGGTGAGTTCAGTGTTGGATGTATTGAGTTTCAGAGGTGATGCTGCAATGAGGTAGACGAAGTTCAAGGTATTAGGAAGTCAGAGTGGCAAATCTTTGTTGTTGGCATCTGGGGGAAGGATACAGAAGAGATTAAGGTAAGAATGATAGTATGCAGGCCCATGGCCAGAACATGGTGTGATGAGAGTTATAGTCACTGAGCTGGGGGACTGATTAATTTCAGATACACTGAGTTTGAGGTGTTCTTCAGGACTCCAAGATGGTATGGATAGCTGGATATGTGGCCCTGGAACAAAATCGTGGGTTGCTCTTTGAAGGTGAATGACATAGATATGAAGAACACCTTGGAAAGTCTGAAGTGCTCCACAGAATCCTAGCTGTTTCTTTGTTGACTAGGGTTAAATAGATCCTGAGAGTGATATCCAACCAGCCCTTGATTAATTGCTGGAAGGGAAACATCATTTGTGGTTTTGTGGAGGTTAAAGAAGACATCAGCGTTTTGTCACTGTGACAGTGGCATCATGCCAGACTTGGAAGCCACTTCAGCCAGTATTAGATCAGTAAGTATTCATCTGAACCTTAAATGTGGGCTGATTCCTTCCTTTGAGAAATTTATTCTTTAAAAGTGGTGACTTTTGACCATGGTACTAGAGAAATATCTTTCACCTCTGACAAAGAGGCCACTGACTGATCAAAGAAAATATTCTGTTCAACTTCAGCTTGGTAATTGATTAGAACTGAGGTGTAGACCCAAGGCAATGTAGGAGGGGAAGAGCTTGAAGGCGAATGATAGACTGGACAGAAGAAATTACTGATTGGTTTGACTGTCCATGACACAGATTCACCAGACACTGACCGGGCTGAATGTTGGGAACACCTGATACATCATTCGAGATCTAGATGGATTAATAGAGAGACAACCCTATACATAAATATGTAAGACATTAAATATGATAATGGAGACATAAGAAACGTCTAATAGGAGAAGATACTTTATATTTCCAGTGAGAAATGCTTTATAGATAAAAATGATATTAAGAGGAGTTAAGGGGTGAGTTGTGGGAAAAACAAATTTGAAATTCAGTCATGAGTTAGTGATAAAGTCGCTTTGTAAAACCTTGTGGGGAGATGTCATTTTTAAATGGAACTAAAGGATCACCTCCACATGGTGCTTATTAATTATAAGGGGATGACTGTATTTTTATGGTAGGATGATCTATTAGAATCTGCCTTGACTGAGGGATCAAATACAGCATCACACAGAACAAGACAATGTGATGTTGTTATGTGCAATTGGTTGTAAACAACTTCTGAAATGTCCTCACCCAAATGCTAACTTGAATCTCCTGTGACTCACCATCTAATTCACACGAATTATAGAAAAAGAACAAATTAAGAAACATTATGAGAAGCACATTTTCCTTTCTCATTTAAATACAGTGGTAGCATTTTACAACAAAACAGGCCTGAATTTGTGTAGATTAACAACTTAGGGAGAAAAAGAGTGGAGCTTCCCAAGATTAAAAGATTTCCAAGGGGCTAAAGCGATGGCCAGTGGATAAAAGAACACAGCGCTCCTGCAGAGGACCTGGGTCTCCTTCCTGGCATCCATGCCAGGCAGCTGACAACTGCCTGTAACTCCAGCTCTAGGGGACCGGAGCCTCTTCTGCCCGCACTTGACATTGGTACACACATGCACACACAAAAGTACTAAGTAAAACTATTCTTAAAAGATATCCAAGAATTAAAGCAACAAAATAAAGTGTGTGAACTTTGGATGGATTTTCATTGTTTTCTAAAAATGTTATAAAGGACATTTGGAGGTAAACTAGGTGAAAATTTGAATATGAACTGGATATTTGATTGTAGAATTGATTGCAGTAAGATGTTATAAACAACATTTTTAGGAGATTTTATAAAGTTACACTTTTAAATGATCCAATAAAAAGCATGCATTTATCAGCATGTTAAAATTGTTGAATTTCTGAAGTCTGCTCACTAGGTGGGGATCCACACTGGGTACTGCAAGCCTAGCTGACTGCTTGTGGCTGGAGAGAGAACAGACTGCAGATGACAACCTACTACAGTCATTTTCCTAAACCCTTGAAATTCCTAACTGTATTCTAGTTACTTATAACTACAGAGGTGTGGCCATCACCCATCACCAAAGAAAATTCTTTCTGTGGCAGATGAAGGCTACTTTAGAGATTGACAACTGGTGAAAATGCAGAAAATCTATGAGTGTGGGGTCCTCAGCCCCAATTGGCAAATCTTCACTGCAGTCCCTAGAGTGAAGCTCCCGGGCATCACAGAATAGGATGCAGAAAGAATGTTGAGAAGCAGAGGACCAGGATACCTGCTGCTAGTTAATGTCTTCAAGGATGCTGTGCCCTTGAAATGTCAACATGGTTGGCTAAACAAAACCTACACAAAGACAACACCCATTGACATGCCAGTGTGAGTGGAGGAAATTTCAAACTACCACTCCTAAAGAGCTACATACAATGTCTGATAGAGGGAGAATCAGTTCTCTGTGATCAGCTCCCTGATCATCCAATCCCAAGTGGCCAACCATAAACACACATAAAAGAAACACTAAATATACTCAGTAGGTTTATTAATATATATACATTTTGGAGTCATGAGGGACATGGGGGGAGTTGGAAAGGAAGGAGGGATGCGAACAATATATTTTCATGTATGAATTTCTCAAAAATTAAAAGTTGAAATTAAATGCCTCATAGGAATTTACTATTTTTCATGATTAAAATATTTCAAAATAAAAACTTAAAATTATAAGCTTGGTGGGAGCTTAGGTAATATATAATCTTTTTTTTTTTTTTTTTTTTTTTTTTTTTTTTTTTTTGAACAGGGTTTCTTTGTGTAGCTTTGCGCCTTTCCTGGAACTCACTTGGTAGCCCAGGCTGGCCTCGAACTCACAGAGATCCGCCTGCCTCTGCCTCCCGAGTGCTGGGATTAAAGGCGTGCGCCACCACCGCCCGGCAGGTAATATATAATCTTAAAACAACCTGGGTATCATTTCTTTTTCAAAATGTTTACACATGAAGCATAGCCCCTCTTCATACTAGCTTATTTCCCAGATTATATTTGCACAATTTAATTGTCCTGCATAGGCACACTCAATTCTTCCCTGGAGGAAGTTCCCTTGTCTCTGCTCCTAAGTCCCCCAAGTAGGGATCTTCCTCTTCTCAGGACTGAATCCCCAGGTGCTAAAACACTATGTGGTCTGTAAATAGTGCTCAGAGATGTTGTGAATGAATTGGTTCATATGAAAGGAACAACAAGAACCCTTATCTTGGCAAGGATTTGCTTTCAATTTATATCAATCAAATAACATCACTCTCAGCATATCTGACCCAGTGGCGGCATCAACTTTCTATATAGGTGGGCCGGAGGGACAAGGATGTTTGGGAGAACTGGAAAACTATAGTCTCTCCTCTCCTCTCCTCTCCTCTCCTCTCCTCTCTTATTTTTTTTTTTTACTGTCTTTGTTAGAGATGAGTTCTTGCTGTGTCTCCTTGGCTGACCTGCAACTTGTTATATATTCCAGGCTGGACTCACAGAGATCCACCTGCCTCTGCCTGCTGATATTAAAGGTGTTTCGCCACATGAAGCTTAAGATATATTTTCACAAGAAATGTTTTACTTAGATTTTAGTTTATAGTAATATTGTCCACACCTAGGCAAAGTGTCCCAGTTCTGGATCACTTTAGAGTCAGGCACATAGGAAGACACCTCCACTGTGTGTAGAGAGGATTCACTCACTGAACTTGTATAGAACCTTTACCAGATTCTAAGCCCGTCCATTGTATTTCAGTGACAAACCAGCCAGCCAAAAAACTGTCTAACCTAAACCAAATAAAAAACAATCACAAAAGTTTGCTTTTAAGGACCACAGTCAAGTTAGAGGGAAAGATGAATAGTAACTAAAATATCATGGTCATTGTTTAACAAAGAATCCCACACAGCACCTTCCCTAAGAACCCACCAAAAGAGGTGTCAGAGCCAACAAAGAGCTGCTGGCACCAGAGGAAAGATGTCGCAATCAGTGTTCTCCTGAGAAACTGATATGGCATAAGAGAAGAGATTTATTGTGATGATTGACATATAGTTATGGAGGCTGAGAAGGACTGTGATCTGCTCATGTGTTAACCAGAGAACCAAGAGACGTGTTTTTGATTCAAATTTCAGGCAAAAGCTTGAAGATAACTGTGATATAAATCTCAAGTCTAAAGGGCTGAGATTCAGGAGAGAACCAGTATTTAAACGCAGTCAAATTTGGGTCCCCCAGTTTAAGAAAAAAAAAATCAAATTATCCCTTGCAGGTGGGATAATTAACATTTTCTCATAGTACGTGGCAGTGTGTTTTCCTTTCTTTTTAAGGACTGGTTTTAAAATTTTGTGAGTGCCTGTATGCATGTTATGTATACCACATGCATGACTGGTACCCATGCAAGCTGGAAGAGGGCATCTTACAAACTGTTATGAGCTGCCATACCGGTGCTGGGAACCGAACTGGGGTGCCCTTGCAGAGAGCTGTTAACCAAATGCTGTTAACACCTGAACCATTTCTCCAGCTCTGGATCCTGTGCTTTCTTCCCTTGGGCTGAGTTAAATGACAGTCTTCTCAAGGACACCAGAAATACTTCACCAGCCACCCGAGCACCCTTAACTCAGAAAAGTTGATACATAAAATTAACCATCACCCTGATCATGGAGAGAACTAATTCAAACAAATGTGGACCACACTGTCTCGATGCTTGCTATATGTAGCCAAGGCCAATGTCAATGTTGCTGTTTATTACTGTGAAAAAGTGATTATAAGACCATCTAAGAGCTAACTTTCCCTATTTCTATTTATTCCAAGCTCATGCTACTGTTCAAACTATCACCATCAAGTGTTCTTTCTCCATAAACACTCACTTGTAGCCTTTGTGTTCTTACTGTAGGAGAGTTCTTTCCTTAACTTTCTGTAGGTGGCTCTCTCATGCCACACATAACCGGAGCCTACACCAGACTCAAGCAAAAGCAGGCAGCAATATCCCTTTGTTTGCTACAATTCAATCCATCACTGCAATTCGAGGGTGCAGAATTTCCAGAGAGCTTAGGAAGGACATATTGACTAAGTTTTAATATTATACTCAGCTTTAACTAAATTAGAATTGAACCTTAAACTTCTATTAGAAGCAAATTTTAATGCATTTCAAATGCACTAAAACAAAAAACCCCAGTTCACTTGTAGCTAAAACTGAACATTACAAGGCAATCAGTATTTGATTTATGCTTTGAGAAATACAATGAATCACTCTCTGATTATAGCATCCCAAATTGCTAGGCTAAAGAGTCCTTCATGAGTTAAATACTTCCTCCTCAAAAATATTGGTTCTGTATAACAACATATCATTTTCATGATTTTAAATAGAGTATTTAAGATCCAGGCATTTTAAGTCACAGGCATTTAATCACTGAGTCCACGAGACCATTCACAATGAACACAACTGTGACAAATATCTGAAAATTACTTTCAGTAGTGCAAATGAACATCTTATATCCTTTGCATTAATATGAGTATGTAAAATTCTCAAGTGAAGTGATTTATATGTAGATATAATTATAAAACATCAAAGAAACAGCTTTGAAATCGACACAAAATATAAAAGGCACACACGAGTGGATATGTATATAAAAACTGTAGTCACAAGTTAGCACACATAATTAAAATGGATTTATTGCTTTGGGCTTTGATTTTTTTTCTTCCTTTTATTAAATCATTATGGGGAATCCCTTGTGTTCAATTATAATTAGACACATACACATTAAAATGTTTCTCATATATACATATATATACTCTACATATAGAGTCTTTAAAGCTGAACTAATAGAATAATATACATGCAAATTTAAATGTGTATAATTCAGGTAATTAAAAATCATGATTCCCTAAGCAACATTAACATACAGATAGTTATAAACCACTGAATTGTATATTTATCTCACAGTGTTTACCTCTGGCAAACTGGATTTATAGTATATATTTGAATTGTTTAACTTTCACAATTTACATGTTCAAGTTTTGGGGAAAATTTACAAGTTTTGTAATTTTATTGTATATTTCAAAGTTTCCTTGGTACGTTAAGCTGGCTGATCTTTCCATGCACAGGATCCCATGTTAATCAAAGAAACTAGATGATGGTATGCATGAGGCTGTATCTTGAATCCTCTTCCTTGTCTATGGCAGAAGCAAGGGAAGGGTGGTCGCCTACTCAGGTTTCTCTCATTTGTAAACTTTGAAGAGCTGTAGAAATGCTAGCATTGAGTACTCTGCACATTGAAAGAGTTTGTAACTCATTATAACAATCATAGTCTATTAGAGTTGTAAATGCAAGAATCAGAGAAAGCTGAGCAGTCAGTACCTGGAACAGAATTACTTTAAAAGATGAAAAGAAGTCTAAGATGTTACGAGGGGGACATCATATTAGTACTGTCATAGTTTCATTTCTACTGCTTTGATAAAATGCCCGACAATGAGCAACTTAGGGAAAACAGGTTTGCTGCAGCTCACATTTGCTGGTTACAGTCCATCACTGTGAAGAAGTCAAGGCAGGAACTTGAAGCAGATAGTCCCGTCACATCCACAGTCGAGAGAAAAGAGAAACAAATGCATGGTTACTGCTCAGCTCATTATTCTTTTCATTCATAGTTGAGGGCCCAGGCCAGGAATCAATGCTGTCCACATTCAGGGGCAGTCTTTCCACTTTAGTAGTTTAATTAAAACCCCTCACAGACATGCCTGCAGTCCAGCCTTGTCCAGACGATCCCTTACTGAGACTCTTTCCCTACAGGATTTTAGGTGTGTCTGCTGGAAGTACTCCGTAGGCTCTTCTCTACATGAGCCTTCGTCAGTGCTGTGGCAAGGCACCCTTCCACGTCACTATGGTGAGAAAAACTGTGCTCCCATGGAAAGACATTTTTAACTGTATTTGGAAGTTGAGCCTTTCCAGGTGTTACCAAGTATAGATGAGGTTGCCAGTTTGGACCTTTATCTAAAATATAACACAAATGGTGTCTTTATGAGCAGGAAAAGGAACATCATCTGAAGACAGAGACCACCAGGGAAGAGCAAGCGATCACAGAGGCATAGATGGAAATGTTACAGCAGGATCTCTAAGGAGGCCACCAAGGAAGAGCAAGCGATCACAGAGGCATAGATGGAAATGTTTCAACAGGATCTCTAAGGATAGAAGCAAGGAAGGATTTTTCACTACAGATTTCACAGGGAACATGGCCCTGCTGACATCTTCATTTCTGATGTCTGTCCATCAGAGCCATGGATAGTTTCTGTAGATGTAACAGAAAACAGACAAAAATGGGACTTTGTTAGAGCCTCCCTTGAAAAGTCTATGTATCTGCTGTACCATGTTCCCTGTTCTTTTTGAGGACCAATCATGTGACTTGTAGATTCCCACTTGGCTAAATTTCACATTCTCCTTATTTCCCTGGAACATGAAGTAAACCAACTCTGTGTTCCTTGCTGTCCAAGCATAAGAATAAACCGGAACCAGGAGTGGGGCCGTTACAATAAACATTGGTGAGAAATGATGGCCATGTGAAGCTGTTTGCTGTGATGGGGTCATGTCCGAAGCAGGGAAGTTCTTACTGTATTTACACACATCTGCTGCATTTGTACAACAGCCATAATCTGCTGCCTTAAGATAATTACACAATGTCCCAAAGCAAGGGTTTGAGAGCTTTTTTAACCTCCAAAGATGAAGTCTAAAAAAAAAATCTATAGGATTGAAAGTTCCATTGAATTCCTGATTAATCCATACCTCCATGTGAAAAGTTAGACCATAATCATCAGTTTCAAATTCTATTAATGAGCTACTAAAAACAGAAAAGGTCAAGTGACTTACTCAAGGCCAGACCAGTTTTACGCTATGTACATTCTACCACAATTAAAAGTAATTAAAAATTAATAAAAACATTCACTTTGTTATGAGTTATGTAAATTAATTATTTGAAATGCAAATAGGATAAACAGGATTATGTGTGAATATTTAAGGCTGAAGATCAAACAAGTTCTCTGCTAATGGCCTTGTAGTCTACCCTGAATGGTACATGTTGGGGCAAAGAAGGAGTTATTTCCAAACAAGTTTATGTTAATATGAATATTTTGCTGAAGTGGCCTACTAGCAAATGAGACAAAAGTTTAAGATAATCTAATTTTTATGACCCTTACAGAATAGTTCAAACATAGAGACTATGTCTTATTGTATTTAATAACCTTGGAAGTATTCATTGTATCTATGAAGAAAATAAAATTAAAAGACATCTAAGAGGACAATGCTGAAGTGTTTGATTTTTTAAAAAAGAAGATACTGCTCAAAGGAATGCACGGATTGTGCTTCACAGTATTTATCTCAAATTTTTCAGTCAGACTCAAAAGAATCTTTATCTAGCCTCTATGCCTTTGACATCGGCCCTGCTACATCAATCAAGGGTCCAATGGAAAAAGGTATTAGGGTTGGAGAGATGGCTCAGTGGCAAAGATCACTGGTTGCTCTTCCAGAGGACCATCTGCAATTCTAGGCCCAGGAAGTTCAACACCCTCTTTTGCTCTCCCTGGGTACCAGGCCCACATCTGGTGCACAGACACTCATGTAGACAAAACACTCATGCACATAAACTAAATCAAAAAGAAGAAATTTCAAGCATTTGTCACAGTTCTCTGATGATGCTGATTTGTAGATGTAACCAATCATCTTATTAAATAAGAAACACAGAACCAATGCAAAGAAGAAAGCCAAGAGGTCAGAGCTAAGAGCCTTACCCCACTGCTGCAGCTAGCCAAGAGACCTCTCCGAAACAGAGACCTACTTCCTGTGTGTTTGTCTTTATATAGTCTTTCTGTTCTGCCTTCTCATTGGTTGTAAACCCAAACACATGACTGCCTCGTCACTGCCTGTCTGTAGAGACTTCCAGGTCTTCTATGGTTGGTATTGAGATTAAAGGCGGGGCTGGAGAGATGGCTCAGAGGTTAAGAGCATTGATTACTCTTCCAAAGGTCCTGAGTTCAATTCCCAGCAACCACACAGTGGCTCACAACCATCTGTAATGATATCTGGTGCCCTCTTCTGTATACATAATAAATAAATAAATAAATAAATATTTAAAAAAAAAAAAAAAAAAAAAAAAGAGATTAAAGGCGTGTGTCTCCAATGCTGGCTGTATCCTTGAACACACAGAGATCTACCTAGCTCTGTCTACCAAGTACTGGGATTAAAGGCGTGTGCCACCATCACCACACTCTTGCTATGGCTCTAATAGCTCTGACCCCCAGGCAACTTTATTTATTAACATACAATTAAAATCACATTTCAGTACAAATAAAATGCCACCATACTGATTAAAGAGAATTGAATATTAAAACTAAACTTGCTTCCTGGATGAGGAGAAGGAACAGTAAAAGGTCTCATGATGTGCTCTCAGTAGAATAAAAATGATAACTACATTCACCACTCGCTTGGTTCCCACACCAAATAAACCACAAGGAAGCAAAAGAGCACAGATACACAGGATGCTCAAACGTCTTTAAACAGCTTCCAACGTTATGCAAGTTAGCCCCAGGCTTTTCACTTTTCACCAAGAAATTGTGAAGATTTGGAACACACCAACAGAGGTGAGGCAGAAGGCCAAGGGGCACAGGTGATTTCAGACGGTAAGTCTTCTAACCCCCACACTTTCATTTGACACGGTAGGACCCTCCTCCTCTTACAGAAACAAAGGTGTTTAATCCCTTCATCTAAGCTCACTGGTCATCTCATGGCAGAGCCTACTTCCCAGAACTAGTGCCTAGAGTGATTGTCTTGAGCCTTCCTGGAAATGTGAGGCAAACACTGGATATTAGTTATGTTCATTCTTTTGCACAAAGTCTTAAAAAGGAAATCAACACACCATTATCCCTTTGCATTTTTCTGTAATTTTATATCCCTATAGCTATCATAAGTATGTCCAAATAGCACATGACCCAGCTCCTCTCTTAGAGAAATTTTATGTATGGATTAAGTGATAAGTTGTTCCACAGTTTTCATCAAGATCCCATTAATTTTTTTTCAGATCTTGTGCCAATCAACTAAAACCACTTTTCTTAGGTCAGGGAATGTGAACACACACTGTCTCTCCCTCCTTCTCATTCCCTAAAATGAATCAGTTAATTGGTGATCCCTAAATTCCAAGGTATCTTTGGTATTCTTAGTAAGTTCATTTATGCCAGTGAATGGCTTTTTAGGAATGGTAGCTGCTGAGAAATGTATAAACAGTGTTGAGATGCACACAGTGTTGTAGTAACTTCACAGCCTTCACCCCCCCAAGTGTCCTCAATAAAATATTCTTCCTAACAAAACAAAACAAAACCAGAAGCAACATGAAGAAGCAACAGCGATAAGGCTTCTATGGAAGCTGTCTAAAATTTGTCATTATAGAAAACTCTTGAATTTAGAAATTACTTATTTCCAAATAGCTGTGTTGATTCTTTAGTAAGTGATTTTAGGGACAGATAAGAATTGGCTGTGATCTAATTCACACATATAATGCAAGCTTTGCTCTTTTAATTTTATTATTTCTGGATTCTCTTTTGCTTATTAGTAAAAAAACAACTCTGTCTCTTGGCTGTGGAGGAGATGATGCTAACAAAGTGTGCTGTGATTGTTTAGAAGTGATTTTCTCCAGAGATCCAGGAGGCTTAAGTAGTTGAGTTTCCTATTACTTTCTGCCCCCTGGGTTTTACATTAGTTCTGCACCGACTTTTCTTGTCTCGTGTATTTGTAAGGGTAAATGATTAGGGTGGAGAGGCTCCAGGGGCCGGATCCTGGCAGCAGCAGGTTGTGCTCAACCATCTTCTACTTGCATGCACCTGATGCCTTTGGTTATTAGCAGACTTTGTAGCAATCAGTGACTACAATATCTCTTTGCTCAATAGGTATGTGCAAAGGGGGGAAGGAGACATAATAACATGTATCTGCAGGTGCATCCTGTGGTCTCCATCCGAGAGACAGAATTTGTGGAGTTGTTGACAGCTGTTTTACTTGTTCTGTGTTTTAATTGCGCAGGTCGAGCCATGAATATTCAAAACATAGTCTGCCTGACTATTTTACCCAAGGGAAAAATCAACAAGAAGTGATACATGTGGCAGAAATTAATGGACAGCAGAGGCTATTGGAAATGGTGTGGTAGGATTATAGCATAACAAAGTGGAATGGGGGCTGGAGACATAGCTTAGCGATTAAGACTATTTGCTGCTCTTGCACAGAACCCGTGTTCAATCCCCAGCACTTACACTAGGGACTCACTACTTCAGTTCCAGGATATCTGGCGCCCTCTTCTGGTCTCCATGGGCATCTGTACTCACAAGATGCACATATAACACACAGGCACATAAAATAAGATACACCCAATCTTAAAAACAAACAAACAAACCTAGAAAGATAGTAGAGGTGACCAGTGGGGGCTTTAAAAGCTGAAACCAGATAACAGCAGAAAATAGCAACATAAGTGAGTGTGATTCATTACTTTGAGGACTCTGGTGACTTGAATTCCTTTACATCGTCTCAGTGTTCCAATTAGTATGGCAGGAACTGAAATACAGTTTAAAGACAGGTTTAGATAAAAATGTAAGTGTAATGCTTTGTAGTACATTTTTGCCCCTAACATCATTTCCAGGGAAGGACCTTCTTTTCTTCTCTTCGTTTTCCTTCTCTTCTTTTCTTCTTTCTGCTATACTTTCTCCTCCTTGTATTCCTCCCCATCCTCTTCCATATTTATTTATTTTGGATGATTATCATAGAGTTCCTTTGCAGCTCAGTAGGGAGAAAAACTGAAAAATTGAGAGCCAGGTGGATCTTGATATTCCAGAGAGGAAATATTTGGAAGGAAGCATGTGGTAGAAAGGTAAGAAGGTAGAGAGGTAATGGTCAGCAGTGCATAGGGGAGGGTAATGGACAGTAGGTCCAGGGTGCAGGGGTATTTAAAATGTCTGGAGCTAACTGATATTTGAGACTTCTGAAGAAATGGGACAACAATATCATAAGCATTTCCAAGAAATATTGGTAGAGAACGCAGGATGTTATTGTCTTGTCTGTAATTCCAACCAAAACTACTGAATGACAGGACAGTGTGTGTGTGTGTGTGTGTGTGTGTGTGTGTGTGTGTGTGTGTGCATGTGCATGCATATGCGTGTATGTGTGTATGTGTCTGTAATTTATTTATATCAACACATGTGCTGGGTCCTATCTGGAAGAAAAGCCGACCCACTAAAATACAAGATGAGCAATATGAGAATTATTTTATAATGTCATCCCTTTACTGTCCCCTAATTTATGTATTCTAGCCAATGAGATGATGCACTAGTTCCAGATCCTTTTAACTCCCCTTTTTACTCTGTACCTGTGTGCCCTCTGCTTCAACAGCTTCGCCCACTTCCATTCTACTTGACGGATACAACCCTCTTAATCTACCAAAGCCCAAATGCTTCCTTCATCTTCAAGACTTCTCAAACTTTCTGGGGTGAAGTTATTCTCTTTCTAGTTTCTACTTCTGCACCTGGTCATTCTTCCAAGTCCCTCGTCATCCACTCCCCTGCCTTACAGCCCATGAGTGGGTAGATGCTGTGAACTTTTCCTGAGAAGACATCAATAAGCCACCCACTTACCCAAATAGGGCACTGACAGAAATAAAGGAACCAAGTGAAGCTTGCAGTTACTTCCAGGAGCTTGGGCAGCTTGTGGGCAGCTACACCACTGAGGAAAATTCTCTCCCTCTCAGCAAATGTTAATTGCTCATATATTCTCGGGGATAGGCAGGCCTCATAGGCTCTATCCCATTCCTTAATGGAGTGTGAATGGGCCCAGTCTTGTACAGGTCTCATGTGGGTAATCACAGAGAATTTAAGAGGGATAATGATAGGCCTTGCCTGGAAGCCAGCTTTCTACACAGGAAGCGTGCGGGCTCGTCTTGTGCAGGACTCCTGGCCTACTCACTGTGCACCCCACCTGCAGCCTAGTCCAGGTCTGCCTTACATTCAGAGGATGCTCACACAGTATCCACGGAAAAATGCACGTTTCATTCATCCAATGCAGCATCTTTTTGTTGTTTGCTTGTTGTTGTTTTTTTTTCTTGTGTCCTCTCTTATAATCCATGGTTTTATTTAAAGGCTCCTTTGTAGGTAAAAGTTTCTTCCCACAGTACAACATTCGAAACTAAAGTTGGTAATAGCACATTTC